AAATCCAAAGATATCTATAATTACATATGTCGAATATAACAGAATTATAATGAAAGATAAATGAATAAATAAAAATAAAAAATATAAATACAAAACACACGCACACAAAAAAAGAAAACAAAAAGCAAAGTAAGCATTATTTAATTAGTATCGAGGAAGGGCTGAAATAAATTAGAGAGGTGATATGACAAACTTTTTGCTTTTGGTTTCTGAATTTTGCCCAAGGAGACAAGAGGAACCTAATTTACTTCAAAATAAAACAACTTCCTGTGGCGTCATGACGCAGAGGTCACGCAAGTTGGAGTCACATGAGTGGTTCCTAGCTTTCAATCTAATCTACGATTCGTTTCACATCCTATTTTTTTATTTACTGTCTTAAAACCCCAGCATGGACGAGGACGGTTTGCCAATCGTTGGTTCTGGAGTTGATCTCACTAAGGTTCGGGTTTAAAACTAGTTGGTTTTCATGACAACCGCTCGCTGAGGAAGTAAACAGTCCATTTTCCCAGTGATTCTCTCAGTTGCTGCAGCATACACCCCGGTTCACCTCTAACCTACTGCCTATAATACGTTTACTTTGTCCGCTTTTAAACGCTAATCAAACATGAAATGTTTTATTAACATCGGTGGTTCGTTTTAATTCGCCGTTATCTCTTCCTCCTCTGAATTAGCATGTAGCTCGTGAACTTCGAGATATTTTGAATTGTTACAAATAAGCTATATGTATTTTGTTTTTTTTTGTCTTTTTAAGACCAAACTAATGTTGTAGTAATGTTAGTAGTAGTGTTAGAGTTGGATAGAAAATGAAATATGATATTATTATTAAAAAATAATTAAATATCCGTTATTTGTGCAACAAATGTTCCCAACAATCCTTTCCTAATGTCTGCTTGCTTCCCCTATTTGTGTAGATATTTGAAATGCAGCATGTTTTAAGCAGAGGCGTAGCTGGAATATTTTTATAAGGGTGGCCGAAAGTTGTTAGTGTGAAACTAGAAATGGAAAATGAATGAGCACAACATCCATATTTTCTAAATAAAGACAAACTATACTTTCCTTCAACCTTTGCTGACAAATGGACGCATAAATATTGAAACATCTGTTCTTTCTAGATAAAAGGTATAGTTGATTCAATTCTTTGAGTTTGAGTTCTGGGGCGAACATCTTTTCCATTGTCATTACTTACCTTCTTTTATCAATAATAATTCTACATAAAGTTGAAATTTACATGTACTAATATCTACATAAATGTATTATTTAATACGTTTTATTAAAATAATTATTTATCAATGACCTGCAGAGACATGGAATTTTCTCTTTACCCCCTATAACACAAAATCTAGTTCGAAAAAGGGCATGAATTCTGTACTTATCATCATTATTTGTTAGTATATTGATTTGCATAATTAACCCAAAGTGTTTTTGTTGTCAAGTAATTGTTAATATATGAAAAATTAAAATGTTTTGAATATTCCACTTGAGAGTATTGCTGTTGCCACCATCTGCATTAGAGGGGGAAAAATGTTCAGAGGTGGCCACAGGGGTGGCCAGTGATTGGCTAAGCACCCCTGGCCCCCCATCTAGCTCCGCCCCTGGTTTTAAGCATTTGTTTCAGTTATCTTAAATTATTTCTGCTTTCCCTAGGTCCCTGCTATACAGCAAAGGAGAGTGGTCGCCCACCTTAATCAGTTTGTTGTTCACACAGTTCGATTCCTTAACCGATTCTCTGCTGTGTGTGAAGAGGTTTGTGTTTTTCCTCTTTCTCTCTTTACATCATCACGCGCCTGCTGTCTGAATAAAGTCACTAATCACTTTATTTTACCTCCCAACTACAGAAACTTTCAAACATTTCCCTTCGCATACAGCAGATTGAAACCACCCTGTGTATTTTAGAGGCTAAAGTAAGTTCTAGCATGGAATACAATTAGTTTGGATGCATGTTTACAGTTTTAACAATCTATTTATTTTATTTTTTTACAGTTGTCATCTATTCCTGGACTAGAGGATGTCACAGTCGATGGACTCAGCCAGAAGCAAAGTGGGCAGTCTAATGGACCCGTCACCATCAGTCAGAACCAATCGGATTCTATAACAGCGGGAGCTCCTCCCTCACAGGTAGGAATACAGACTCACTGTAAATAAGTAATAACTGTTTTAGAATAAAATGTTTGATAGTACCAGACCTGATCTGATGTAACTGCAAGATGCATCTCCAGGTTTGGTTCTGGGTATGCAGATTAGATATGAGGCAAAAGATCTGAGAGGTCTGGGTTTTTAAAATACTGATGGCCTCTATAATTCGTTTTGGTGATACGCCATCTAGTTATTTATGGTCTTAGAGAAGTATTTTGGAATATATTCTCTGAGATACAGGAAGCCAGTGTAAGGACTTTAGATCTTGGGTGATGTGCTCTACTTTCTTAGTTTTAGTGAGAACACTGGCAGCAATCTGGATTAACTGCAACTTTCTGATCCAAATTTTAGAAGTGCTTTAATCCATGAGAGCAGGAATAGGCTGCATTATAATTTGGTTGATAAATACATTTAAAATGGTTGTTTTCCTGGCATAAACCCTACTTTTAAATATATTCACAGCTTTTTAGTTTTATTGACTTTAAAGCTTTCAAAGATGCATGAAGCTGGATGTTAGCCTGCTGCCTTCATCCAAACAAAGTTTTAATGTCTGTTTGGGGTCACTGTCCCGTCACAGCACAGAACTGTGTCCAAGTTACAACACTACCGTCTTGATTATTTTTATTTACGTTATGTTATTGTTCTGCTGGGGAGAAAAAAAGCCCAGACAGCCTGATTCTCTCCGATCACCATTCCTTTCTCTTAGTGTGGCTGTCATAGTTTGAGCGCCTGCCATTATTTCCTCCAAATGTACTCCTCACCTTCATAGATGATAGATTTAGACTTTATTGCCCTTTTGTATGCACACATATTGCATACGGCTTACAACAGTGTAATGAGATTGCAGTCGGAGTAGATAAACATGACCAAAATAAAGTGCAGCAGTGATCAGTGTGTAACAATGTAGGAGAAAAAAAAATGTTTAAAATAATGGTTCAAAAGGGCCTTAATATCGAGCAATTCAGTGCATTGTAAAATAAATATGGTGCAAAATCCAGTAGAATATTGAGTTGTGTCCTAGTTAAAATCAGGGGTTGATGTTAAGGATTTTTACCACTTGCCCGACTTTCACATTTCATTTGCCAAGAAACAATTTTTACTTGCCCAGTATAATGTTTGATAAATATAGTTCCTAATATTCATTTTTGTATATATATCAATGAAACATGTTTGTTTTTTTAATGTTTTTTGTAATTCAGTATTTTTTAAGTTTCCAGGTTCCTGGTGGGTTTATACATGCGTCAGATAATGAACTCAAGCCTACATTACCGTGTTAACATGCTTTTCAATCCTTCCTGCACATTCTTTTCAAACTAAACTTTGCCTTAAACTGTTGTGTGCTTGGAAAAATATAAATTTGTTAAAAATCTAAAAAAAAAACTTGACAGGTTAAAAACTTAAGATAAATCACATACAGAAGTCAATGTCACAAATGAATCTTTTTAGAGTCACGGTATGTTTGTACAAGATAATACTATTAATATAATGTGACTTTTCTAGAGAATCATTATACAGAGTTATTTTATACAGGGTTTCCATAGTCTGACATCATTTCAGAATTCCCTGACTTTTAACTGACTCAGGATTAGTTTTCCCTGACAAAATAAATGCAGCAACAAGACGATAATAATAACATAACAGGTCAGAAATTTAACATGTTTAGCTCTATAACATTTAAATGTCTAAGAGACAAAAATTTAATGAACATTTTTAAATGTATGACCTGCATCACTGTACAGAAGACTGCCATATGATAGCGCTTCCTAGCTTGTTTGTTGGTTTGGTAACTACATCAAAATTACCGCTAGGTGGACAAAAAATGACGCCATCTGGCGGAAAATCACCCGGTGAAAATCACGCGAGAATGTGTACTAAACAACAAAAATGACGCCGGAAACGCTTCTGGGTCAATTTCATCAACTTGCCCGGCGGGCAAATGCAATAAAATTTGTACTCTCCCGACAATAAAAACGACTTGCCCCGGGCGATGGTTAACATCGAGCCCTGAAAAGGATTATAAAAGCTCAGCAATGTTGAAAGTGCAAAAAAAATGATGGGGATGCTTCTTTATGTTTCATGATTTTGGACTGTGATAATGGTTGATGGCATCTATTCATGTTGCAGCCGGATCAAAGTTCACCAGAAGCTGCACCTGCACAAGAAAAAGCAGAACCAGTGCCTGAGAACATCATGACGGTGGCTAAAGACCCACGTTATGCACGTTATCTGAAAATGGTTCAAGTGGTAAGCTGTTATGTGATTGAACTATATATAAAAGTAATATTAAGAAAAAAGATATTATATAATATGTATGGATGCTGTGTTTTCCAAGGGAGTACCAGTTATGGCCATTCGTAACAAAATGATAATGGAAGGTTTAGATCCAAATCTACTTGAGTGAGTTGATTTCTTCTCATAAAGTTTTAATTGATAGTTTTCTGTTAAATGTCAAATTGAATAATTTTCTCCCAACAACAGCGCACCTGATGCCCCTGTGCCTGATGGAGCAGCAAGCAGCACAGAGAATGACGATATTCCTGCCAGCAGCTCAGATAGTGAATCATCTTTCAGTGACTGATCCGTTTTCTCTTTGTTTTCATCACTACAAAGCTCCATGTTTTGGCTCATTAATAACTGTCTGCATGGTGTTGCACAGTATGAGGCTTCATTGTGTGAGTAGAGGACACACAAAGGTGCTTGAAGGATTGTATTTTTCCTGGAAATGGTACTACTGCTTCCTTTTGTCAACATGGAAGCATCTTTGTTTTCATCCATTGATTTGATTTTTTGTTTTAATCTTTATTAAAGTCTCTTTATTAAATCTTTATTTTTCAAATGCATGCATCAGTCATTAGAACACAGGACCAGTAGTATGATGTAGCAGCTGGAGTCACATGACAAACAGTGCAGGTAAAGGTGCATCAGATTGCCAATTACATTGAAATGAGTCTCTGCATAAGCACCACATTTAATGCTATGCATTGCTGTATGTCATGGCAGCCAAAAACAGAATGCATAAAATCTTGTCTCTCTTTGGCTCATAAAGAGGACCAGATAGGGATAAAGACCCTGAGCTGCCTTTTTGGTCTCCCCAACTGTAGCTGGAGAAGGTTGCAGCACCACAAAGCTGATTGTAAGGTTTAGCAGCTAAATTTGCTCTCTGAGATGATCAGGTCCAGCCAGTATTTTGAACTCCATGAATCCTGTCAACATTAAGCAGAAAATGCAATTCCTTTGTTTATTTTAACCTGCAAATATATTGATGAATTGCTTTTCTAAAAGTCAGGAATCTATTTAATTGTGTTTCCAAGCATTTTTCTGGTACCTCCATGAAATATATTCTATATAAATACATTTTATATTACTAATACTGTTGAACCCGCCAAACTTGTGGGCACTCCTGGTGTTAATAAAATTATATTTTATTATAGTGTCATAAGTGGTTTAAAATAAAGTAGTTATTGGAGATTTTGTCAAGTTTGCACCATTTTTCATTACTTGCCTTGATTTATTCGAATGTATCCATCTTCTTCCTGTTTTGCAGAGTAAGACTGTTCATTTTTTGTCATAGTTATACTTCAGACATTGGTCAATCAAAAATATATAATTTTTTTCACAAATATTTCAGCCTTAGATTATGTGGCAGATTATGTAATATTAGTGCATTTCAGCATAAAATGCATGAATATTACATGAGCAGTGACAAATGAAACAGGAGAAGCAGTCAGTGCCATAACTGTTTTAAAGATGGAGCAGATATCCCTGGAAACCAGAGAATGTATATCCTGATAACGTGTCTTTCTTTTGTTCTGTAATAAAAACAAGTCTATTTATACAAATAGTGCAGTTTACATTTTCTCCTGTGCAAACATTTTTTGGGAAAGAACTAGAACATTGGTAAATAGCCTGTACTTATATAGCACTATCTCAAGTCAGAGGACTTAACCAAAGCGCTTTACACTACATTCAGTCATTCACCCATTCATGCACACTGATGTAGGATAATGTAAAGGAGGTAATATGATCAGTCTTACCTTGAATAATAACAACAACTGGATAACAACTGGATGACTTCACTTGACTGTGACTAGAATCTTGTACAGTAGCTTTTGAAAATCTTATAATGATGGCGGAAAGTCCAATTTTATGTATTTTTTATTATTAATTTCATATATTTCTGTTTTTGTACCACAAGAGGGCACCAAAGCCATTCTGGCCACAGGAGCAACTAGTTGGGATGGGAAATGCATGAATGATAAGTGTCTCATTCTAAGGCAAATTACATCAATAATTGCATTTTTCTGTTTATATCTGTTAATGTTTATATGGCTGCATGTTTTAGAGTCTAGCACCGCTTTCGTTGATCTGAAAGAAAAAGTAGGCTTAAAAGAGGCATTAAGCTTTTTCTATTCCTCTGATGCTCTGTTTTGTCTCTATCACTTTAAAATGTGGAAGAAATATCTGTCTTGAACCTTTTTTTATTTCAATTCTGTCAAGCCATACAAAAATTGGAGCATGTCTAAATATTTATCAAATTGGATTGAACAGAATTAAAAGATGAGACTGTTTCCTGTCTTCCAGAGGTGGACGTCACAAAGTAGCCCAAAGTAAATCCTGAAAAACTGTTCAGCTATTTCAGTCACTGAGCACAGAATGATAATGTTGATGATTTCAGTTTATAGCTGAGAGAAATACAAGTTTAGTTTCAACTATATTTATCATTTGGGATTAACCTTCAGGGAAATTATGGTTCCAGTAGCTTATATAGTGTACAAGAGTTAAAGCAAGATTCCATTAAAGATAGAAAATACAACAGACAATATAAAAAGAGTTTATGCAATACAAAAAAACCCATAAAAAAATGATTTTCTCCATCAGAAATGGAGAAAATAAAAATGAAAACCTGATCAAATCCATACAGGACTTGATTATCATCGTTAATCACGAGGAACCACTCTATAAAGGGCCGAAAGGCATGAGACATGAAAACCATTTATTTTTAA